CCCCTTCCTTCCTCTCCCCTCCTCCCTTCTCCCGAGCCGAGGGGAGAACAGAGGCGGGGTGAGGGACGAAGGGGAAGGGAAGGGGAGAGGCCCCGCGTCAGTACCCGCCTTTTCACTCACCGCACGTCCGCGATTAGCTCGGAGCTTAATGGTAGTCACCGAGCGAGTTAATGTAGATGTCCCGCGTATCGACGGAGAAGACGAATGAATTCATTTGCGCTCGCTTTCGATGTTCGAGCTGCTGCGATGGGGGGTAAGCCGGGGCCGGTGTCGACCGCGCCGTCTTCAGCTCGCGCGCTCGGCGCCACCGTGCATGTCGAGAACGCTACCAGTCTCGTAAGCTTTCCATTTACTCGTCGCATGCTGACCGAACGCACCGCAAAGCCCGCCGCCATCCCCACGTTCGTCCCGTCTCGCCGGTCTCGTGGTCCGCCGTCTCGCCAATCCAGTTGACGGCCACGCTCGTCTCGTCGGTCCACGACTCGCTGGCTCCCTCGCTCGTGTGCTCATCTCGTCGGGCTTCGCTCGTGCTCGTCTCGCTGGATCGTGCTCGTGCTCGTCTCGTTGAACTGTGCTCGTGCTCTCGTCGGTTTTGCTCGTGCTCTCTTGTCACTCATGCTCGTGCTCGCCTCGGGCTCTGCTCGCAGTGTTGCCGTGCTCTCGTACACCTGGTATCGCCATCGAGCTGTCTCGTGTCGAGGGCAGCATGCTGATCCTTACGCAGGTGCGAGCGATTGTGTTGGCAAGTTGGAGGGTGGGCCGAGGCGGGAGTGAGAGCGACATAGAGAGGTGGAAGGTGAGATGAAGGCAAGAAGAAGGAGGAGAGAAAGAAGAAGGAGTATGGTAAGGCAAAGACGTAGCCAACACGCTGTAGCAGAATATTGATCGCTGATCGCCGCTGTGGCGTGCGAAGCTTGGACGCATCACCTCGTGCGTGAGCGGACTCATCAACTCGTGCACAAGCGGCCCCATCAACCCGTGTCTCACCACCTCGTACTTGCCTGTTTGGTGAGATGTGGCAAGCAACGGAGCGCCCACGGAATTTGTGTTGAGACGGAGCGCTCATGGAATCAGAGAAGGCACACAATGAAGAGTGCTCAGGTAATGCCAGCATACGAGCAACAGACTTTCGAGCAATGCAATACGGCAGTCGAGTGATTGACTTTGGGGTTGGCAGATGAGACGGAGGCATGGTGCTCGACTCGAGCGAGGATGCACAAACTTGACACGGTGAGTTGACCAGTAGAACACTCGGAGGATGGCAGAACTCGAGCAGAGAAAGACGGGTGGATTGGAAGATGGATAAAGTGTCAGGATAATGAGGCTCGGAGAATAGCAAGGATACAAAGTCGTGAGGTCCACAACCAAACAAGATGGTAAGAGAGTGTGTGAATAGGTCAGGATCATGAGCAAGGTGAAGAGGGAAGCGAAACGGGGCTCAGAATACATAGTCGACGCTATGGGGAGGGAAGACATTGTACTCAGATTGACGGCGAGCTTCCGATCTCGAACTCAAGGCGCGCAAGATGCAGACATGAGAATGAGTAGTGTGAACTCGTATACTGCGTGCATTGGACCAGGAGGGGCATGGTGGGGCGTCGGGGAAGCCAGCCGATGCTGAAGAGTCGAGGAGCGAGCGCCGCGGTTGACGATGACGGCCGGAAACAAGGACCAACGTCGGACCCACAACCGCCAAAGCCGGATGCGGCAGTCGCCGAGACGCGTTCCCACCGCTTGATCAGCGCGCCCATCATCGACCGCGGCGATTATCCTCCACCCCTCCCTCGTAGTACGAGATCTACATACGAAATGGTATATTCTGCTCATCCAAGCTCATCGCGACTGAGGAGACCTGGCAAATCACGCAAGGCAGGGAAAGAGTGAGCTCCCCTTCGAGATCATCAGCGGCGGGGGAATCGCGCGAGGGCGTCGATTCGGCGGGGGAAGCAATGACTGACCCATAGACCAGAAGTGGGGCTCGTGCGATACACTGACGCGCTCGAAGCGATTTGCCGAAGACGTCGATAGTAAGAGCACTGTGCCGATATCAGGCGGCCGGGGCCCGGTACGAGACAGCAACGCGAGCGTGACTTGCCGACAGGCTCAAGACGCCAAGAATACGAAGGGAATAGGCACAGTGAGTATTGCATATAGTTACCGATTACAGGCAGCCCGCGACAAGCCTTCAAATCGCTTGAGCATAGCGCGAGCATACTATCACTTTGCCCGCGCCACAGCCCGCTTCGCGGTCTGCGGCTGCCGAGAGACCCGTCGAGCGTCTAACAGAACATATGGAATGCTTTTCTGGATGCTGAATCCGACATAGGACCTTTGGTACATCCCGAACGGCGTTCCTCAGCATATCAACACGGCTCCCCCTCGACGGCCAACTTCCATCGCCTCGTCGGCAATTCTGAGGTCCAGGCCCTTGAAACACGGAGCTTCGGACATGGCGCGCCCGACCGAACTTTGTGGCTGTCGAGGGGAGCGGCGATGCCGGCGAGGGAAGCGCGGACGCCGGCTCGCGATTTAGCTTGTTTGTGGGGAGCGGTCGTACAGCGCTGGGCAGCTGGCAGGTACAGACATCGAACGGTGAGTAGAATCAGTCAAGCAGTCCGCGGTCCGCGTTAGCGAGGTCGCCAGAAATAGTCTGATCTTTTGACTTTCGCCGCGCTGGCTAAAAGCCTGCTATATGCGGTAACCTGGATTTCAACCGCCATCCTCGCTCGCCGGGAAGCCGCAGTGCGACTACAATAGGTGAGGTCATACTCAGCATAGAACTACATGCGCCTGACTATGGCCCCCTGAGTTTCTTCCTAGATACCCTCAAACTCGCGAGCAAACCGACAAATGCGCTGTATGCGTGGTCTCCACTTTGCAGGGCCCAAGGACGCGTACAAGCGGACCCACCCGCTCTAAAACACCTTACCCTAGCCGAGAAGGATCACCTCTACGCTTTCTAGTACTTTGGTATGTGCATAACGCCCAAGTACACAATCTGCCACCGCTGCACCCCACGCCTCGCCTCGCCGCGCATCTTCCACCGCCCTGGAGCGGATTGTGAGCGGCGATCAGGTTTGATGGGATCATTTGTCATGCCCGAAACGCGGAAGATCCGGACCCGCCCTCAGGGAACTCTGCAGGGAAGTGCAGAATATGTGCTGTTCTGTATTTGCGGGCGAATCTGCGCGGCGGAGTCGGAAATCTGGGCGAGCGGTCAACGAAGGCCCTCGCCGCGTCAGTGGGGCATCAAGTGGACGTTGCTGAGGATGTCAACAAGTCCGTGCGCTGGCTAGAGGTGTATATAAGGCGAGGTGGGTAGCCGGGTTTCCTCAGTTCCCCAGCCTCCTCTCCTCCTCTCCTCCCTTCTACCTTCCCTTCCCTCTTCCTTTCTATCATTTAACGCGTACTCTACTGTCAACTCTCCCTCCCAACGTCTTTATTCTATCTCGTCCCCCCTCGCTTTCGCCGTATCCGAGGCTGCTTGCTAGATGGCCCCGGCGCAGCGAGTCCGCCTTTCAAGGTCTGTCCTGGTTTTCTTCCGTTTCTATGGACGCCTTACTAATCCTTTAGAAATCGCCGAGCATTGTGGAGCCCGCTCTCCTTGCATTCAGGCCCAGCACGGATTTGCCCGTCGGTGAGCTTAAACTTCATACTGCCTTTCGTCGTCGATATAACGCATTCACAGGTCCTTCTGCGATTCAGATTCGTTTGCAAATGCACTCGTTGCGGTGCGCTCAGGCGCGGCTCATAGACGATGAGCTGACTTTGACCTGCATAGGCCCGCACGGCATCCATTCAGGCGAGCTGCTTTCGATGCTACGGCTCATCATCGAGCTCCCCCTCGATGACCTTCTCAACATCATCGCATTTTAAGGTACCCTCAGCTCACTTCGAACGAGATCCAAAGTGAGTCAAACCGCTCGCTTTCGTTGATTCACCAGGTCGGCTGAATTAAACAAAGGAGATGCCAGCAAGTCAACATTATCACCCACCATCGAGCTCCCCCTCGTCACGGCCTTCTACGCCATCAACCGCTTATAGTAGCCCTTCGACGTTGATGCGGCGGTGCGGCCGGATCCGATAGGTAAATCACGCCTATATTGAACCTGAGCAGATATATCTGATCCCCCCGCGTCCTCGCCCTTCACGCGGCACAACGGCTGCCTGCCCGAGGTCGCCGATGTCACGACACGCGGGACGGTGACACCCATCCCGTAAGTCTATTCAGATCTGTATATTACACGTGTCGCTTACAACCTTTCCTCTTCCCACCACCATGCTCGGACGCGTCAGCGCACGAACACGACCGCCGCTGCGCCTTTCGAGGACGGCTGCGGGACCGACCGTACGACGCCGTCGCCAGAGTCATCCTTGACCTGCCACGAAGACGTACAAATCGATAAGGTGCGCGCTGGGCAACGCCTTGCGGGATTTTGGAACGCTGACACACGATCGCAGAGCATCGACGACGCCTCCGACCGTCGCGCAGCAAGGGATTTGGCGCCGGGAAACGACGGCTCGAGCGGCACCGTCGTCTTCGAGCTCGCTCGAGATCTCCTCGCACCGGGAATCTGCGAGCCCATGCATGATCAGCCACGCCGTCGAGGAGTTCCCAACGCCCAATCTCGCGCATGCGGCCGTGTTGCATGACCGCTATTGTCTCAACGGGTGAGCTTTGCATTGGTTTTTTCGCGGTGCGGCGTCATGTTGACCTTGATGCAGATATTCCCTCTCATTCGCAGAGGAGCGACGGACTGGCCGCGCGAGTATGCAGCGGTATCGTGCCGGTGGTCGTGCGACCCGCGATTGAGTCAGAATGGTAAAGGTACGAGCCGATGGTTTTCCGGTTCCTTCCAACGCTCACAGGTGCCGGCAGACTCACCTATGACGGCCGCGTGCGCTGGGACGCTGCTGTGGTGCAGTACACGACCCCACTCGATGAAAAGGCGATCCCACAAGCGCTCGCCCTCCGCCTCGGGATAAGCAACAGGTATGTATTGTCGTCTTGCTGGTACTCTCACCGCCGAGACTGACTTTCACGCCGTCACTGCAGGACACGAGAGAGCGCCGTGGGCTCAAGCACAAGTGGCCAAGGGAACGCCCTGCGATAACCTCGCCGAGCGCGGTCAGTAGTATGCACTCTTTGTGCGCCGAACTGAACTGACGCGACCCAAGAGTGCACCGCGGCACTCATTGGACAACGGCAAGGCTGCCCACGGTCCCGTTGCACGGCACCCGGGGACCGTGGTGGACTGCAGGTGCCGCGGACGGACGGAGGGAGGGGGAGATTATGCACGCACGGCGGGCGATGCGACTCGGTGAGCCAAACTCATGCCCCCCGCGCACCGGGTGCCCGACTCTTACGAGTAGATACGCGGAGAGGGGAGACCATGGCCGATTGTCGCGCCGTTGGAGGGACGGGTGACGTCCTTCTTTTTCTGGGTACAGAAGCGGACGTAGCCGCGTCGTAGCCGAGTCCTGCCCCTCCCCCCTCCACCCATATTTCCCCCTTGTCATCTCGTACTGACCTAACCCTAGAACGAGGACCTGACATCGGCACGAACCGCGCTTGCGGTGCACGCGTCGGACAGACTTGACGGTTGGGTGGAAGGGGGCGGGGGGTGCGCGCAGACGCTGGAAGAAGGGGAGTTGAGAGGTAAGCTATGACGTTCAAAATGGCCGAACATAATCGCACTCAACACAACCCATCACGAAGGTTACAAAAGTACCTCCCCGTTCCTTACAACGACCTACGAATGCCTGCGGAGGGCATAGCAAGACGCACGAGGGTGGGGGTGGGGGGTCAGGCCCTTCCCTCTCGTCTTGTGAGTCTTTTTTAATTATCGATGCGCCTTCACTGACCGAAGCAACCTAGATATTTGGGGTCACATCGCCCTCACTCCGCCTCGCCTTTCGAAGGGCGAGGAAGGCGACTAAGACGGCGGCGAAGGGAGGAAGAGGGGAAGGGGGAGGGGGGCGAAGGCCCTTACCCATCTCAACTGGTAAGTCGTAAGATCTTTTCTGCACGACGAGGCTCACAATTCGATAGAATTCTCCAAAAACCTCGCACTTCTCTTGTTCCACGCGCAGGAGAGGGCGAAGGGGCGAAGGGGGAATGCGAACTGCGCGAAAGGGAGGGGGCGCGATGTCCGTGCGACACGGTGAGTGCCCGGTCAATAGTAAATCGCGTCGTACTCACATTCGTGCCACAGCTTCGACAATATCACCTTCTAGCCGTCGCGGGGGCCCCACTCGCGTCAGTAGACGAGCGACGGCGGGGGGAGGGCCGGATCCTTCCCCTCGAATGCGCTATGAGCTCAGCGCTTTCCAAATAGACAGCAACGACGGCGATGCGATAACAACAGGGACCACGTCTGGAGGTGGAAGGCCGAAGGGAAGGAGGGCGAGGGGGAGAGAAGGGAGGGGAAGCGAGGATGCAGAGAAGGGAGGGAGAGGGGGAGGGGTAAACTCCCTCCTTGCTCGGCGTGTGCGTGGACGAGGCGGGCGTGCACGCTCTTGCAAGGGCTACGACGGTACGTGGATTATGCACAGCGCGATCGTGAACTGACCTTTTCCACGTTTCGAGGCCTTCCCCCACCCCCTCCCTTCGTAAACGCACGCGGGCGCAGCGTTTTGGGGACGGCGAGCTCAGACGACTTGGTAAGTCCATCGTCTCCCTCGCGAAGTGAAGGAGAACTCAACGGCGTTCAATTTCAGTGCGTGCGAGAAGATGGGGGAGGGTGGGGGCGCAGTCGAGGCCTTCGCCACCGCCCTTTTCGGTGAGTACAGCGCTTTAGTGCACTGATGAAGGAGTAGCGTCACTGCGCTCGCCCTCGCAGCGATGCAGAAGGAGAAAGGGACGTGGAGGGGGTGTTTTATGGCAACCAGGGGAGGGAGGGGCGAGGAAAAGGGGCGGGAGAGGGGCGGCTGCACTTGCGCGACGAGTCCCCCGTGTGCGTTGAAGGCGGGGGACGCGCGCCAAAGGTAGATTTCGCAAAATTATAGCGGCGGGGCAATGCACGAGGAGGGGAAGAGGAGGGTGCATTCAATCTCCCCTCGCTGAAGGAGAGGGAAGGGGGGACGAGGGTAGCGAGCATCTCGCGCGGCGCGCAAAGGCGGAGAGGGTGAGAGCGACTTTACCACACGTCGGCACGCTCGCGGCGGAAGGGCTGGGGGTAGCACGTCTGTAACGTAGGTAGCGAGACAATAAATTCAGGTTTACCTTCTCATTCACGCCGGCGACGCGCGCGCAGCGCGCAGGCAGCGACCGCCGCCTCGTCGCGGCCCCCTTCGCCCCCGCACTCCGTCGCATCACGCCAGGCAGACCGTTTTCAAGGAATGTGTATTCGTCGTAGGCAACCCCGATGTGTAAAAGTAAGTAATCCGATGCCATGTCTACGCACATTAGGAACAGCAGAAGGGTATAGTAAGATGTAGAGTCGAGGGAGGGGGACGGGAGGGGGAATGCCTCGTCTATGCCGAGGGCTTGCGGGCGATCATGAGGTACATGGGGGTGAAGAGCTGTAGGACGATGAGCTGGGCTCCGACTCGGATGCACTCGCCTCACCTTGGTCTGGCCACCCTTGACGAGGGCATCCTGCGCGACCTTGAGCTGCTCACCGACGTCGTGCGTGCCCTTGGGAACCATGCCGAGCATCTCGATGATCTTGAGGCCGTAGTGGGTGACGAACTTGCCCGTCGGGCTGATGCGCCACACCACAAACAAATCCCAGAGCGTCTGCGCCTTGCTGATATCGCCCTCGAGCGGGTAGTACCACGGCACCGGGTCGTCGCGCTCCGCGAGGTCCTCCTCGTGCTCGAGCTCGAAGCCGACCTCCTTGACCGCGTCGCGCGCCATGTGCAGCGGGCGCATCTCCGGGATGCCGTTCCCGAGCTCGACCTGGTGCGCGAGCGCCTTGTGCGCCGGGTTGCTCGCGTCCCAGGCGTCGGTCATGACCCACTCGTAGCAGCCGAAGACGCCTCCGGGCTTGAGCACCTTGAACACCTCGCCGTACACGCCCGCGAAGGACGGCGCGTGGCAGGTCGCCTCGACGGCGTACACGGCGTCGAACGCGTTCTCGCCGAACTGCTCCGCGAGCTTCATGAAGTCGCCCTTGACGAACTTGACCTGGTTCTCGAGCCCGGCCTCCTTCGTGTACTGACGTGCGCGCGCGACCTGGGGCGGGTGTCAGGCGTGTTCTACTGCTGATGCGCACGCACGCACCTGGAAGTCGTTGTTGTTCAAGCCAATGATCTCGACGTCGGCGAAGCGAGCGATCTCGCGCGCCGGGCCGCCGACACCGCAGCCAATGTCCAGGACACGCATTTTGGGACGGAGGTTCATCTGCGCCGCGAGGTAGTGCTCGTGGCGGGCGAGCGACGCGGCGATGCTCTCGCCCTTGTAGAAGCGAGAGAAGTGGAAGGAGCGGCCCCAGCCATACTCGTACAGCTGCGTGCGGGTGCAGCTATCTCGTTTGAGCGCATGTGAGGTTCATGAGACCGCTGGGTCCAGAGTATATCATTTAAGACCTGCTCTTAGCACACCGGTGGGCAGAGCCTGCAGAATGAGGGGTGAGGGAAGAGGACAAGAGGAGGCAACGCTATCTGTACGCGTTACGCCCGTCGCGGCAGTCGCAGTCGCAGTAGCACGCCTGCTTGAGTGGGGTCGCGTCTGCATGACAGCTCGAGCTCCCCCGCGATCGCAGGACGCACATCCCCGCCAACCCGCCATCTCGTCACCGGCGACTCGCGCCGACGTTCCGCAGTCACATCACACACGCGCACAAGTCACATTCGCGCCATGTCCACCTCCTCGTCGTTGTATTCACTCTACACCTACGCCTACCGCTACCCTAGCCCCGCCCGCCTACCCCTCCCCCAAAAGACCGTTCGGCAATTCCCGAAAATCCACTTTTTTCGCCCGGCCCAGAGCTCCATCCCCCCTTTGCGTCGCGCGAGCGGAGCGAGCGCTTAAGCTGCGCGTTTTCGGCCATCCGACAGGGCGGGATTGGCTCTGGTGAGTACCCCTCCCTCCCCTCCTCCTCCTCCTCCCCCTTCCTCTCCTCCTTCCCTTCCCCTTCCTTCCTCTCCCCTCCTCCCTTCTCCCGAGCCGAGGGGAGAACAGAGGCGGGGTGAGGGACGAAGGGGAAGGGAAGGGGAGAGGCCCCGCGTCAGTACCCGCCTTTTCACTCACCGCACGTCCGCGATTAGCTCGGAGCTTAATGGTAGTCACCGAGCGAGTTAATGTAGATGTCCCGCGTATCGACGGAGAAGACGAATGAATTCATTTGCGCTCGCTTTCGATGTTCGAGCTGCTGCGATGGGGGGTAAGCCGGGGCCGGTGTCGACCGCGCCGTCTTCAGCTCGCGCGCTCGGCGCCACCGTGCATGTCGAGAACGCTACCAGTCTCGTAAGCTTTCCATTTACTCGTCGCATGCTGACCGAACGCACCGCAAAGCCCGCCGCCATCCCCACGTTCGTCCC